ATCATCGTCACCATCCCCCCCCCCCTTCCTTGGGTCACCCCCCCCGGGGTGGGTACTCACTCGGAGAAGCCCTTCCACTTGAGCAGGTACTCGGCCTGGCCCTTCACCACGCGCCGGTCCAGCACCTTCTCCACCACATACTCTTCCTCGTCTCCCGAGGACGAGCTGTCGGCTGCCCGCTTGCTCCTCTTGCCCATAGCGCAGCGCCCACGGCTCCTGGGGGGGGACACGGGGGGGGACACACGGGGGAAGGGGTTAGAGGGGACCCCCTGCCACCCCCCACCCCCCAAACCCCGGGAAGGAGGAGGTGGAGGGGAAGGGGGGGGCACCTGCCGACGGAATTTGGGGTAAAATTCCAAAAAACGGTGGGAGTTTAGGGACAGGGAAATGGAATTTGGGGTAAATCCCTAAAAATCGGTGAGTTCGGGCACAGGGGAAATGGAATTTGGGTTAAAAGCCTTAAAAAATGGCAAGGGGTTTAGGGCAGAGGAAAATGGAATTGGGGTTAAAAACCTGAAAATCAGTGAATATTTAGGCAGAGGGAAATTGAATTGGGGTTAAAAACCCGAAAATCGGTGAGGATTTAGGCAGAGGGAAATAGAATTGGGGTGGAGCCCCCTAAAAACAGTGGGGATTTAGGCACAGGGAAATGGGATTTGGGTTAAAGTCCCTAAAATTGGTAAGGTTTTAGGCACAGGGAAATGGAATTTGGGTGGAACCCCCTAAAAACGGTGGGGATTTAGGCCCAGGGAAATGGAATTTGGGGTAAAAGCCTTAAAAAATGGCAAGGGGTTTAGGCAGAGGGAAATGGAATTTGGGTTAAAACTCTGAAAAACGGTGGGGGGGTTTAGGGACAGGGAAATGGAATTGGGGTTAAAATCCCTATAATCGGTGAATATTTAGGCAGAGGGAAACGGAATTAGGGTTAAAACTCTGAAAAATGGTGGGGGGGTTAGGGACAGGGAAGTGGAATTTGGGGTAAAATCCCTAAAATCGGTGAGAGTTTGGGCACAGGGGAAATGGAATTTGGGTTAAAAGCCTTAAAAATGGCAAGGGTTTAGGCACAGAGAAATGGAATTTGGGATAAAACCTGTAATTTAGGCACAGGGAAATTGAATTTGGGTTAAAACACCTAAAAACAGGGGGGACTGAGGCACAAAGAAATGGAGTTTGGGTTAAAACCCCCGAATTTAGGCACAGGGAAAAGGAATTTGGGTTAAAACCCCTAGAAAAGGTGGGAATTTAGGCACAGGGAAATGTTTAGGTGGAAAACGCCGTTTTCTTACCAATTTATAACGCCGCGATTAAAATCTCACCTCATTTTTTAGGGGATTTAAAGGCGAATTAATAACCATCGAGGGGAGGAAAAAAGAAGGGGAGACCCCACACTCCCCCTGTTTTGGGGTGAATTTGCTGCATAACAGCAAAGCCCAAGTTAAAACCCCAGAGGTTTTTAAAAAAATAACAAAGTTTTAAGGCACGCAGCCAAAATTTGGGGTTTTTAAGCCTTGAGCTTAGCGGGCTTTTTAAAATTCAGCTTAAAAAAACCCTCTGGCAGAGCCAGGAAATTCCTCGTCCTCCCCCTTTCCCTGAAGGCCCAAACTGGTGGGATTCGCTAGGGGCACTTTTGGGTGGAAAAGGGGAGGTTTTGGGTGGAAAAGGAGCAGTTTTGGGTGTTAAAGGAAGAAGTTTGGGTGTAAAAGGGATGAGGCGTCGCATCCCCAAAGCTGCGGTGAGAGCCCGGGAGGAACAAAAGAAAAGCGCTGTTTTTGAGGTAAAAAGCTCCAGTTTTGAGGCAAAAAGTGCCGTTTTGAAGTAAAACGTGGTGATTTGAGATAATAGGTGCAGATTTGCAGACAAAAAACCCCTGCTTTGAGGCAAAAAGCCCCGCTTGGAGGTAAAAAAAAAGTGCTGTTCTGGAACAAAAAGCACCGTTTTGAGGCAAAAAGATGTCGTATAGAGGCAGAAAGGGCCGGTTTGAGGTAAAAAGTGTTGGTTTGAGGTAAAAAGCGAGATTCGAGGCAAAAAGACCCCCGTTTTGAGGCAAAAAGCCCCGTTTTGAGGCACAAAGTGCTGGTTTGAGGCAAAAAGCGCCGTTTTGAGGCGAAAAAAAGTGCTGTTCTGAGACAAAAAGCGGTCCTTTACAGGCAAAAAGTGCCGTTTCGAGGCAAAAAAACGGCCGTTTTGGCTCGGCCCGGCCCGTAGCGGCTCTCGGGTGCCGGTGCCCGGTGCCGGTGCTGCTCGGAGGAACGGGCCGCGGGGGAGGGGCGAAGAGCGCGCCACCTCTCCCCATTGGCCGGCGGGCGCGCGGCGCCC